GCACCGTCGATAAGTCCTCGACACGACTAGGATCGATTGAGAGGCTTTTGGTCACACGATTCGAAGGACCAAAGGTGCTTACTAATCACATCTCGAAAGCTGAAGCAGAGAAATTCGGATTCAATCCCTGGTCTCGTGTGGTGATCGATGAACGATCCCGTGATAGAATTCCGCTCGTAGACTTTGAGTGTTCGCAGGAACGTCTCGGAGTGATCTGTCTGTCACCGAGAGATAAGATTTGTCTTCTGAGACCCCATGGTAGATCGTTGACAAACGTTACTGTGCCCTATGAGCGTGTACAAAGCGACATTCTTGATGAAATTATCAAAGTAGAGGAGTCATGAATGATTGTAAAAATTCTACTTGGCTTATCTCCGTATCCTAACAATGAAGTCGATCTGATTCTAGTTTTGTTTAACAGGTTTTTCTGATTGAAATTGGTTCTTGTACGCTTATAGACTATAGAATAAATCTCTTATCTTATTCTCCGATTATCTATGCGTTTTCTGTTTTAATTTTCGCAGGTTTCGTTGAGAAAATTTAGGTCTAACTTTTTTGTCTAGTGACGTACTTGGAGACTTAGTATAAAAGGGGATCGATTTCCCTCGACAATCATTCGTAGCAACGAAGAGTACTTCAATGCTTAACTACCTCCTACGCTTCTTCGGATCCCGACCCAGCAAGAAAATTCGCCGATCAAGTTCCCGGAGGACCACCAGACGAGGACACCGGACCCGGAGCGCCGGTCACAGTCAAGGGAGCATCGGAACACCTCGTCGCAAGAAGTGCCGTAGCTGCTGTTGCGAGTACCGGTGTGCCAGTCTTCGGCGCACTAGAAGAAGGCGCAGGATGGAGGGCGAACAGCCCGTCACGTTCTTTGACGTTCGGGACACAAGACGGGATCGCCCCGAGCCGAGCCGCGTCCCGTGGGCGCGATTTAGTAACGTCGACCCAGAAGAAGACGACGAGATAACTCTCGTCGATATGTCGTCGAGTCACCGTCCATCGACGAGTGCGGGGCCCGGACCGGCAGAGGAGGAGACGGCCGCAGTTCCGGCCCGCCGGCGGAGCCAGAGAAAGAAAAAAGGAACGCTTGCCAGGAGGTTACTCCTCCTGGGCAAGGTTACGGCCACACTCTGTGTGACCATCCTGATCTACGCCTGCGTGAAGCTGCAGGCAGCCATCGGTAACGCGATGTTTTTTAGTTATGTCTGCATATTAGCTATTTATCAGATACTCATACAATAAAACTCTTATTGTCTCAAGTCTAATGTTGGATTTTTCCTTGTTGTCCTTTACAGAGAAGAAACTGTCCGATGAGGGTATAACTTTCCCCGATGTCAGGAGTTTCCCCATGACGGTTCCCAGGACCACGGAACTCGATCTCCTCGGTCGGCTCTTGCCGATTTTCGGAGCAATGATCATATCGAACCGTGGATCTGCGCGTGTTATCTCATTCGCGCAGGTTCCGAGAGGAAGAGGAGTCATGGGAGAGCAAACAGAAATTCTGCTTGAGACGGTCCTCTCTTATATACGAGGTCTCCAACATGGAACTCTATGGGGCCGGGGTTTGAAAATTGTCTCTTATATCCGGTTTTCTCTTATATCCGAGTTTCTTATAAGCGAGGTTTTTAACATGAAACCCTATGGAGAAAAAATCGGGGAATCGGGATCGGTCTCTTATATCCGGTTTTCTCTTTTAACCGGTTTTCTCATAAGCGGGTTCGACTGTATTGCGAGAATAAAGCATGGTACTTATTCATCTGTTATTTAGCTTCCTTATTAGGTATATACTTGTTAAGAGTGCCGCAAATGAAATGTCTGCAGTAGTGATTACTTTCCAAACCACGCAGTCTTCTTTTACAATTGATTTGGGAGGGATTGGTCTCTGTCTACAGTAAAAGCTCGTTATAACGACCCCCATTACAACGAATTTCTCGGTGCAACGGACAAGGAATTTCTCCTCCTTTGGCCAGCTCGCCATAGGGATAGTGTTGAGCGGCATTCGTTACAGCGAAAACTCGGTACAAAGAACCAGTTTCGTCGGTCCCTTCGTGTTCGTAGTAACGAGCTTCTACTGTATACCAGATCCTTAA